CTCCCCTGGCAGTGTCCGGCCAGCACGCCCACCAGCTCCCCCACGCGGTTGTCCAGCGGCGGCCTCGAGCGGTGCAGACACACCACCAGGTCGTCCTGGCCCTGCAGGTGCAGCACCACCAGCTGGTCCCGCCCGCTGGTCACGCTCAGCCCCGTCACCTGGGGTCAGGTCAGGGTCAGGGTCAGAGGGAGCAAGTCCTCCTTCTGACCCCCAGGACCCAGCCTCTAGGGCCCCACCGCTGCTCCTCCGTGGGTCCCCAGGTCCCCTTCCCGCCTTGTGCTCTCGAGTGAGTGCCTGCGGTACTGGTGGGACTGAGGGGCTGGCCTTCCTCCTAAGCAGCCACACCCACCTTGGTCTGCACAGGGACCTGGACCCGCCTGGGCCAATCCTTGCCCCGAGGGCACAGGAGCTGGGGCTCCCGGGGCCAGTGAGCCACAGGACTGGGGGGAGGGAGATCTCCCAGCCGCACAGGTGTGGGGAGAGGGCCCACCTGGGGGCTGAGTAGGGAGTGTGGGGACGGGGCTGTGCCCGCAGGAAGCCATGCAGGCTGCTGCTGGTGGTGGTGGGGGCATCCTGAGCGGAGACTGCTCTAGGAAGTTCCAGGCACCCCAGGAAGGGGGGAGGGGAGGGGCCCATGGACGCTGCTCCCGCCCCCACAGGCTCACCAAGTCCAGGGGCACGGCCCGCATCACCCGGTACTGCCGGCCGGGCTCCAGCTTGTACAGGTGCCGGTCGGTGAGCAGCAGGGCGCGGTCCCGCCTCTTGTTGAAGCGGTTCACCTTGGGGGCAGATGCTGGGCTCAGTGCCCCTCTGGCACCCCCTGCCCCGCCCTGTGTTCTCCCTGCCTGGGCTGGAGCTGCCCACTTCCCAAGTGTCAGGGCAGCTGGGAGACCGCCAGGCCGCCCGCCACCGCCCACCGCTCACCTTGCGGACGTGGCTGGAGAAGAGCACTGCCCCGAAGCCGTCCTTGTCCCGAAGCGACTTCAGGCGCTGAGCGAACAGGCTGGAGGCGGCAGGGTTGTCGGCGGCCTGAGCACAGATGGGGGCAGCTTGGGACGGGGTCTGGGACCATGTTCGACTGGCAGCCACTCTGGGTGAGCGGCACAGCCCCCCTGACCTTGGGAACCCACGTCGGGTGCACGCGCCGCCTTTGCTGGGCCACCCGCTCCCCTGAGGCCAGCACAGACCTCACCGCCTAAGGGCCAAGACGTCAGGTTTCCGCCCTCCACGCTGGCCCCTGCCTGCTCCTCAGGCCAGACCTGGACCTCGGCAGATGGACGCTGAGAAGGCAGCAGCCAGCGGGGACCAGGCCCCCCTCCCCCCCGTGCCAACGCCCCTGGGCCTCTTCTCCTGCAATCCAGGCCGGGGGCCTGCGGGCAGCACCCGCCCACTGAGGGCCAAGGGGAGCTCTGGCCGGGATGCCAACTGAGCTTGGGGGGGCTGTGTCTGAGGACAGGGGTTTGGACTGCACCTGAGATTGGGGGGCGGTGTTCTTGAGAATAAGGGGTTGGCCTTAGAATGGGGGGGCAGGAATGGGAGCAGGGCCCAGGAGCAGGTGCTCCCTGAAGCCCAGGCCAGTGGTTCTGAGTGAAAACACTTAAACTTCAGGCTGGCGGGCGTGGCTCAGTTGACCTATGAACCAGGAGGTCATGGTTCGATTCCCGGTCAGGACACATGCCCCGGTTTTGCGCTCAATCCCCAGTGTGGGGTGTGAAGGAGGCAGCGGATCAATGATTCTCTCTAATCATTGATGTTCCTATCTCTCTCTCTCCCTCTCCCTTCCTCTCTGAAATCAATAAAAAAATAAATTTAGGCCCTAACTGATTTGGCTCAGTGGATAGAGCGTCGGCCTGCGGACTGAAGGGTCCCAGGTTTGATTCTGGGCAAGGGCGTGTGCATTGGTTGCGGGCACATCCCCAGTTGGGGGTTTGCAGGAGGCAGCTGATCGATGTTTCTCTCTCATCTGTTTCTCATCGATGTTTCTAACTCTCTATCCCTCTCCCTTCCTCTCTGTAAAAAAATCAATAAAATATATTTAAAAAAATAAATATAAAACAAACCAAAAACCTCCACAATGCCCTAGCCAGTTTGGCTCAATGGCTAGAGTCTCAGCCTGTGGAACAAAAGGTCCAAGGTTCGATTCCCGGTTGCGGGTTCGATCCTCAGTAGGGGGTGTGTGGGAAGCAGCCGATCAATGATTCTTTCTCATCATCATTGATGTTTCTATCTATCTCGTCCTCTCCCTTCCTCTGAAATCAGTAAAACTATATATTTTAAACAACAACAACAACAACACTTAAACTTCAGAGGCAGAGGCCCCTCGGGCCCAGCCTGGCACTCACGGAGGACAGGTAGTCTCGCAGCCAGGCCCGCCGGCAGCCCCAGTCCGGCCGCAGCTCCTGCAGGGCCCCCATGGCGGCCACCTTGGCCTTGATCTGGGCCATGTCCGAGGGGGGGATGTTCTTCACCAGCTGCCGTGCCCGCCACCTGCAGGGACAGGTGCTCAGAGGGGCCTGAGCAGCCCCAGGTTCCCACCCCAGGTCCTGCCTCTCACTCTCAGCCTGGCCCTGGCCACCAGGCATGTCCCAGCCACCCCTCCTGCTGAGCTGCTGGTCACCCTGTGGCCCTCCTCCCGGAGAACTCCTACTCAGCCTGCAAAGCCCCACGCCCAGCCCCACCTGCCACCCTCCCCTGCAGGCCTGTGTCCCCTCTGGTGCCCAGCGTGGTGGGACCGCAGGGTCTGCTACCAACTGTGGAGTTCTGGCCGGTGTGGCTCAGTGGATAGAGCGGCGGCCTGCGGACTGAGGGGTCCCTGGTTGATTCCGGTCAAGGGCACAGGCCCGGGTTGCGGGCTGGATCCCCAGTAGGGGGCGTGCAGGAGGCAGCCGCTCAAAGATTCTCTCTCATCATTGATGTTTCCATCTCTCCCCCTCTCCCTCCCTCTCTGAAATCAATAAAGATATATTTTTAAAAGCAAACAAACAAAAAAGCTGTGGAGAGCCGGCTTTCCCGATGTGTCCACCGG